TTTTTTGACGACCCCCCCCCCCCGCCCGCTGTTTAACACAAAACTCAATTTTAATAAAATAACACCTTTTTATCACCGTCTTCGTAAAAGAACAACTACAGTGACCCCTCGTTAAGTCGCGGGTGTCGGTATCCCGGCAAAAACCACAACTTATCGATGGTCGCGACTTACCAACGGGTCTGCATCTAAAATGTAGAAAAAGCACATACATTATAGTAAGTTTTTTATTGAAAACTTCCGAGCTTTATCTTCGTTTAGACTGCCAGATTATTTCGCACATTTTCTATTCAGTTTGCCCCTTTTATGTTCAGTTGTCAAATTTTCTCAGTTTTTTATTCATTTTTTACACACTTGTGAATAGTGGTCTCACAGATCGTGATCCTTGTTAATACGTTCGGACAACGCAATAGCTCTCATTTAGACATGCTGCTCAGTTGAATACTAGATATTAGATAAATTCAACTTATTATAGCTTAGTTTTATTAAGCTAAATCGAAAGATGACTGGCCGGGAACTACGTAAAGTCGCTACAGCCCATGTCGACACATTTAGTCAGGCGCCAACAACCTTTTATTGGCGATCCGCTCCGCAAGGATTGCCGTTAAAATCACGTTTATGTGTGTGTGTGTTCATATGTGTAATTACCAGTTTTTTGACGTATTGTGATTTTCTTTTGTTTGGTCGATTTTGTTAAAATTTGGCATGTACATCTTCACTCTAGTTAGTAGTTAATATCTGAAATAAAAATCCGGCAACAGCCACAAAAAATGATTTTTGAATAGCTTCGAGCCAAATGTATCTGTCTCTCCAAATTTAGAATTAGGCACAACGGACATAGCTCATTCTACTCACCGTGAATGTGGGCTCACAGTTTTTATTTGATTTTTTGATATCTTTTATCATTACCGAGAAATTTAGTCTCAAAATCCTCTGACCCTGACATTGTGCAACTGGACGAAACGATAAATTATATAGGATGGTTCGAGTTACGGGAACCGTTATTAGGCATACTGTTGATACATTTTGTGATTATGGAGTGATGATAAAAACTAAACAGTTTACTATCAGGTATAGTACTTTTGTTGTGATTAATAGTATGACAGACAACATATAATGGAGTATTCGTGCATACGTCTTGTTATATAGTGAGTCAATGCAGTGTACATAGACTAGTGTGTGTTATCAGCGTAAATGGGATAAGCGTATTTAATATGTTTATTTATTTACGTATATCGTTGAAGTAGTTCGAGTATTGTACTCTATGTAACCTCGTTCATTAGTAGGTGATATGTGTTAAACACACTATGTTTGACCGGTGCACTCAGCACAGATACAGGTAAAGTCTATCAGGTTGGCAGGGGTGGATTTTCTCTTTGTCACCCTCAACAATTCACGTTTTTCTGATCAAATCACCCTGCCATTCTGTCAGCAACAATCGGGATCAATGAAAGCAAGTGAATATTTTCTGGATGAAAACGTTTTTGTTTTTTGCAAAATTTTGGTTTTTGATGAATTGGCGGTCAATAATCAAATTTTTTTGTTTAACTGCGATTTTCAAAGTTATTGCTGTTGTTTTTCAACAATAGGATATCGAAATGAATGACGAAAATCAAAATGCAATTTTAATTTCGGAGATTTCATGTCATTGAATTGCTATTATTTGGATACTATCAACCGACGGCGAGCTCAACGACACGCAACTACAATGTTACCAGTCAATTCTGTATCGTCGCCCACTATTCAATATTCACATTAAACTATTGCTCGAATGATTTCCTCCTTTATCATTCTATATCGACCACCACGAAGTAAAAGAGATGAACTCACTGTATCTCAGTTTCTACTCGAGCTTCGTGAGCCAATCCATATTCATGGTCATATTTTGGATTTAGTTATCACTAACTCTGATTTCATAGATTCAACATAAATTGACAGTCAGCATCTTTCCAATCACCGGCCAGTTCTTGTTCATTTACAACTACAGAAGCCTTTACTCTGTAAACGCCAAGTTATAAGTCAATCTTCTATTTCTAACACTGACTTCTCCAATGACGTTGACTTCAATCAGGACTTGCATAAATCAGTTTCAAATGTATACTCTGCAATTACAAGTATGCACCCATCAAGAAAAGCATTAGCATAGTTCAGTCGGAAACCAAGTGACATACTGTCAGCATATCTTGCGGCCAAACAACATCGTAGCGCTGTTGAGCGAAAATGTCGTGTAACCAGACGTTAAATTCGCCGTCAAATTTACATGCCTGCCGCAAAGATAATTTGTGAGGCCAATTCAAGTTACTATAAGAATCTTCTGAAGGGAAATGCCTTCGCTCTGTAGATTCCCAGTTACATATATCGTTGTTAATTGTCTATTTCTACCGCTGACTTCACTGATACACGTCGCAAATCAAATACATTTTCAAATATATAAGTTTTGTATAATCATTCACATCATATCGCTCATTGTAGTAGTTTGCTAACACTACCTGGTTTGTATTTGCTACAATCATTCATTTGTAATACTTTAAATTTCTACTTTTCTACTCTACATTTCTACGATAATGGCGTACACAGTTATGAATAAGTCACACGATGGTTGAAATAACCTCGCTGTTTTTGCATATATTTGTGTGTTCGACCAATGTCACAGACAAAATGTAATTGAGGTCCATCCAATTAAAGATATATCAGATATCAAAGCAATTGCAGTAGCAATAACAATCGTGACCGAACATGACAAAAATAATCGCCACAAATAAAGAATTGAACTAAATGAACACACCTGACAGGTAACCTAGGGTAACTATATGCCAAGTATCCTAGCAATTTAGCTGATAGGTTTCAACAAGTAGAAAAGAGTTTTCCCCAAAATGGTAGAAATAATAGTGTGTTCTTCACGATGAAAGCGTAACTAATCAAAGAAGATTAAATTGTTTGAGGGTGAAACCAAAAATAATTGTTAATTCACTACAACATCACTTCATATGTATAAACTCCTATCGTCCCATTCTTCGGCCACCTATGTCGCCCCTACGACAGTTTGCATGTACCTGTTATGTGTGCGACACCCAAATGCAGTGTTCCTAATGCGTATCTCCCACTGAATGAGGTTAAACAAAGTTCAACGTTCAAGTAATACAACAATATACGCAAATAAAACACACACCATATTCAATAGGTTTGTTGTATATACGCCGATATTACACTCTAGAACGAAAATAGGTCGCTATGCTATATGCTACAGGTGCTGTTGTATAAAAAAAATAACTCTATGGCATAGTTTTGGTTTTCCCATACGCCATTTATTGTGAAAGTTTTAATCGGTAGATACAGTACAATATGTTGACACAAGTTGGTTGCTATGGACAGCCTCACGACTACACTTGGAGGTACATGTTGTTGTACAACATCGACTAAATAATATGACCGATTGATGACGACGACGAACGGACGACCATAGAATGAAATCATTCCTATCTTTTTATGGAGAAAGGTCATGGTCACGTGGTATTCGTAATGTGCGTATTTGGCCAAGCAGACCAGTCGATATGTAAATATAATTGTAATTGGCATACTGTGAATATAATATTGAGTGTCCAAAGTAATAACACATCAAGACAATTGAATGTTAGGTAACGCTTGGTAACCTTTTTTTTTCAAAATAAACGAGAATGAAAGAGAAATTGATGGTGGTTTGTTATCATTTGAGTGTATTCAGTACTGGTAATACCACAGGTGTATCAAGTGTTATTTTGGCGGAAAATTCGGGCAGTCTTTGATGTCTGTGTGACGACGACAGGCGCGGTAGACCAAATTGTAAAAACAAATTTCATATTTGAAATTAAATATTCAAAAAATGGCGAAAAACCTGTATAACAAACATCTCAATTAATAGAAATTTGAACATAACTCCTATTTCATATGTATGATTACGAAGTTTGATATAGGTTATTACCGTGACCGCAAATTACCACGGATTGCGTAGATTATCGGGATGTGCGAAGTGTAGTTTGAAAACGGATCTAGCGCGTTAGTTTGGTAAATTGTAATGTCAACGAAACTTCTATAGTCGTTCAGAATACACCTTTAAGACAATTTGTAAAACACGTTCATGCATGCTATCTTTTATGGGGGTGTTAACACTGTTGATCAGTAAAATGGCTATCAAGCGACCATCTTGTACCGAATTTAAAAAAAAAAACTTAGAAAGAACTCCCTTGTGCTGAAAGTATTGGAGACGCATTGAAATTAATTCAAAATTTAGGATTTGCTTTTCAAATGAGAAGCTTGGCAACTAATATTTGTCTGCAATTTTAGAAGCACAACTTGAAAACAATGTGATTCACAGTATAAAAATTTATAATACATACAGAAAATTGAATTTTTATCCATAGTTTTCAGTTTAATTCTGATTTATGATCTTTCAATCTTGCGTTATTTATCTTATATCATATTTTAAAACAGAAACCCAAATGATTTACAAGAAGCATATCTTTATAGTATAGTAAATACAGTACTTTTGAATAGTCGATAAAAATGTCAGATTTGTTTGGGTCTTGAAAATGACATTCTGTGAGTAAGAGGCTGATTTGGCAAAATAGCTAGTACATTTGTTGATTTCCGGAAACTAAAATAATTTGTGTTCTCTTAAATACACTTGATAATTGAAAAGGTTTGCCATGCTATAGGAGGTTTTAATTTATATTAGTTTCTGAACTTAACTATCCTTGATATGACGAATGTTATTTGAAAAATACCGTGATGCTTTATCAAAATCTGTACGTGAAAAAACTGTCGTAGGTTGAGCGGTTCGTGCATTTTCCATATCTTAAATAGACAAACACCAAAACCTTTCTGAAATTTATATTATAAATTCATCATCTATTAGCTCAATTAAAAGCGTGGTTAAAAAGTGCATAGTCATCGCCAGGGATTGCTGTACAGCCCGATACAGCAAAGCACTATCGTGCAAATAAAAAAAACTTCTAAATTGCATTTGTTCATAATTTTTCATCATTGTGATTGTTATCAATATTCACGTATAGGTTTTCTTCAAACATATCCAGATGTAAATATTCCTAGTGGAGAAAACAGAACCAAAATATTCACATTCAACTGACTTTTTTTCTATAACTTTCATTCCTAGCTTTATATATAATTACATGTTTCGTGCACATCCGAGAAGCGTGCCAACCGAAATGAACCGGGAACAGTAAAATAAAGAGTCAGCAATGTTCCACATATTTCGAACTATATGTAGCATAGGATATTTACGAGTTAATAGCATTTGGAGAATTTTATACCATGTGCTATGTAATCATACTTAAAGTAACGTACGGTGATCTGAGTCAATGTTTTTGTTATATATAATTATAACGATATATGTTTATAATATTCTGGGCATAACCAGACAGGAAAACAGAATAGAATGCAGTTTAAATGTGCCTAGTAATGCGAACGAAGTCTTTCTTGGACCGAAAATAATGGTAGCATAATAATGGTACCATATCATATTTAAACATGGGGTTAAACAGTGTAGTCGAAACTTATTTTTTTTCTCTATATTCTGTCTATTCCGTTTTGATGAAAACACAATATAGTTCTAACACGTACAGTAATCAAATTACTGTGTAAGTTATCATTATTGCACGCCATAGTACGTGGTGAAATCATACAATATGCAGAGGGATTATTACCCAAAAAACTTACCCGTCTATGATTCTCGGCAAGTTTCCCAACCCGTGAACAAAGTTGCGAGAAAGTTGGTCTTTCTTCCTGCTGCACATTCCAACAGCCTACCATGATGTCATACCTGGGTGATGATGAAATAACTCAGTAACTAATCCTACGAAATATTGTTTCGAACGAAACATTAAGCCCAAATTCTCTACTTACAGTTCACGGCTGCAATGTGTTGGTCTTGGTAACCTGTATCCACGATTTATTTCGTTGATAACTTGGGCTGATGGCATAGTACCGTATGGCGTAGATCCTATATGGTGTATAACACAAAATATGGTAGTGTATCTTGAAATAGCAACATATTTAAACCACTTTTTATATTGCTCTTATTTCAAAACACTGGATTAGAATATAAATTGTAATCTCCCATACCAGCAACGCTTCAATATAATAAACTATCTAATTTGAGATTCAACTCAAATTCGAGTAACAAACTATTGACACACACATACAACATAAAATATAGCTGTATTCAGCTGTATTATGGGGGTTTGAGATTTTTACTCCAGTACAATTATGATTGGGGCCAAATAAATAGCTCCTTTTACATGGATATTATAAGATATTGTGAGTGAGATAAACGAGCAGAAAGAACTAAGTTGTGTACATAAAATTGTAGCGCAAAAAATTGGAATAATATTTATATAGTTTGATAAATGGGACCTCTGTTTATTACAGTAAATGAAACATCATACATAGACATAAGATACATAAGTAATTTGTTAGATAATAATGATGAATTTCTTACTTGCGATCAGTTTACTGACAAATATAATATTGCTGTGAATTTTATAACATAGACATATATTATTTCGGCAATACCACCAAATTGGAAAAAAACTAACGACTATGTACATGTAATTGAACAAAATGTTCATAATACAATTGATAATGGGTAAGTAAAATAAATATTTCCATAAATTAAAGATAAAATCAGAAACTTAATTAACATTGACAAATATGTTTTAACTGAAAATAAGTTTGAAAAAAATGGGGCAAAGTACTGCAAGTGATTGAAGGATATTTGTAAGTTATTTTTATAAGTTTATTTACCTTGCAGTTATTGTAAATCAATGCCATCCAATAATTTGTAAAAGAAAAGTAATGAACCTACACCCCCCCCCCACAAACACAACAACCCCCTAATCATTTTTTCTCACGTTTCCCCCTTCTCTTCTCTTTTATTACCCTATTATAGTGCTGTTAATTGTCTATTTTTATATTTTTTGACATGTCAGATTATTGTGAAGTAATGTTATTTGTTTAATATTATATGAGTAAAAAAAGTATTGACACAGACAACACATATTTTGTTGTTGTCGTGTTTACTCTGAACAACATGGATCACAACAAATGAATGAATAATTATATATTCATTACATTATTTGGTTGATTTGATTTTTGCTTCTAATAATTATTATAGTGATTTTACTTGTTGAGAATGAGAGATATTGACTTAGGCTTCGCCTCATTGTTGTTGAAAAAATTACGACAGACATGTAAAGTTCAAAAAACTAATTATGTATGCAGAGACTATCCAATAAATTGTTAGTATAATCGGAAAGAATACTAAAGTTGAAAGTATCCATACCCAATGTAACAATTTCCCACAAGACAATACCATAGGACCATATGTCACTTTTTGAAGAATAATATGAGTGATTTAATGATTCTATTGCCATCCATCTCAATGGTAGTTTTCCCTTTAAAAGGTAAATTTAAACATTATTACTATTTAAAAGTTTCCTCTCGATTGATAGTTAAAAAAAACGATAAAAATAATCAAATAAGTGTCACCTGTGTCTTTTTCTGGTAGACGTCTGTACCTTTCACATCACGAGCAAAGCCAAAGTCCGAAATTTTGCAAGTGTTGTTTTCGTCGAGTAAGATGTTTCTTGTTGCTAGGTCCCGATGAATACACTATAGAAAAAAAGTATACAATTTACCCAGTTGTGTGTACCATGAGCTCTTTTAACACTGCACAACACTAAGCAACTTAACGTAACAAATATATATATCTATATACCATGTTTGTAACTACTTCCTGTAATTTGCCACGCAAATATATTATAGTACATCTAGATAACTGCTTTCACAAACTAGAACTTGCAACATTTCGGAACAAAGATCGAGACAACAGTATATGTTTATGTATGCCTTTTATATGATAAAAGAAAGAGGTGATTCCATGTGACACACTTGTGTACATTTTCATAACAAAATGTCATAGAGTATGTATTTTGGAAGTCACAGTGATTTTGCATGTTCTGTACTGATCTACGAATATAATAGCTAAAAACTCGGCGAGCACGTTCTTCATATGACACATTCAGCATGGCAATATTAAACAATAAAGTAACGTCATATATGTTCAGTATCTAAATAAAAGTGGCAATAGTATTTCACAATTGATGGGCATTTTCTAATGTGACCTTCTAATTTAGGTTACATATAAAAGTCAATGCTAAAGCATACATGGAATGTGTGTTCGCAAAATTATTTCAATGAGTAACTATCCTTCTTTACGGTCGTTATGCATATATACCTTTATCATACAGTATTAAACCAAAATGTCACTCCTAGTTCATATACATTTGCATATTCAGAAATACTAAAGCTTGTATTACTGTACAAGCTTATAGTTTCAAGTCACAGAAGATATTGTACGCTTCTCACCTTCATTGATGCAAGAAAACTCATTCCTTTGGCCACTTGCCAGCCAAAATGTAAGAGATCCCAGGAGCTTACATTTTTTACATTTTGATGTAAATTCTGGTAGATTAGTGCTGAATGGCTTGCTCTCAAATGATTCTGTAAGCAGCCATTTTTCACGAATTCGAGAATTATATAAACTGGATCTAAGAAATAAAAAAATAAAAATATACTATTAATGTACATTAACTGACTATGGCACTGACCACATTGAAAGAAGTAAATTTACCTGAACTTGTGCAGCACCCGAACAAAGAGACTACATTAGGATGGGCTGAAGTGAATGTCTTCATCAATCGTAACTCTTGCAAAAAGTCTTTTCGATCTACATCCGTTGCGTTTTCTGAAATGAATATGGAGTGTAAGTGATAGGCCGAAACTATAGTACTAATATTTGTTATTATAGTTCGGGAGTATCTGATAATTTATTTATTGCATTCATCTAAAAAACTTGTTTGTATGGTACGTACTTCTCAAATATTTAACAGCTACTTTTGTCTGTTTATCACCATCTGATGGGTCCACAGCATATGCAAGTTGAACTTCACCAAATTCACCTTGGCCTAACAGCATTCCTTGAAAATGTAACATTTGCCGCGGAAATTCCCACTCATCACAAATTAATGGTTGTAAAACTTCGCATGATTTTGCATGTGAAAAGTTAGCCAATGTTTGAATATCGACATCATTTTCAGAACGATGTTCCTCGTTCTGATGAGACCCGTCAACCTTCAATAATCGAAATAATTGAACAAATGTTAACTGATTACATGTGTATGTGTAACAACGACGTTGTACAAATTTATATTTACAGCAAATGCCGTAAAAAACTCAAAAATAATCGATTCACTTTCAATTTATCCACGATGAACACAACATTATGTATATATATGTAGGTAGTTAATTATAATTAATAGACGCACGTTCGCGGCCTCCATTTTTTTAAAATGGGAGTTAAAACTGAGTTGTAGCTAATAATAAGCTCTTTGCGGACTATGTGTATTTATATCATCAGATTTGCGTTCAAAATTGATGCTGTGAAAAAAAGGTTTCGAAAA